AAAAAAAAAGTTGCAAGTACAAGGTGTTTGTAAATTATCACCTATTATAAGTTATATAACCAGAAAAAAAAAAAAGACAACTCGGGAACAACTGGTTTTTAGGGTATTCACACTAGATGTGTGATTAAAGTCTTCAGAGCAAAATATGTATGAAGAAAGGCTATCACTTTCTAACTTCTCAAACTAACAAATTTTATTTGGTCGCATAACATGACTCCGAAAGGAAGTCTGTCTATTTAGTTGCTGCATTTCCATCCTCCTCTCTCTTCAACTAGATGAGATCCTTAAAATGTCTCTTTTCCCATTGATCATCCCCACCCGTGAACAATTAAATGGTTGAAAGCAAATTCTCTTATCCTCAATGCGTTAGTTGTGTATGTGGCTCCTCTGAGCCTGCTATGATTGGGTGGTCCATGAAAATTGACGATCCCCGAAATTTTAAAAAGATGTGTTTATGCTTAGTGCTTAGAGATCTTTTTTGATTGTAAGATAAAAGTTATTAGGTACAGACAGTTTCATTATTAAAGTTATTTTTATATAATAATTTAAGTTGTATAATTTAAATTATATAATATTATTTTTATATTAAATCTTTTAATAATTGAAACTTATAATAAAAGTTTAATTAATTCAAAATTAAATTATGTCGGATTTTATAAAAAAAAAAAAACATTTTTTCAATATTTATTTCAGTTTATTTAAGATGAACAAATTTATTTTTACTTGAACCAGATTATTAGTATCGTACAATATTATTTTTGTTATACGTATGGTACAATTTTGGTCCCTTCTTTTTCAACCATCTTGGATAAAATTCATCCACTTTACAATTTGTTGTCGTTTTCATTCTTCTTGAGATTGAGATTATCCTTCCCGGAAATGGTCCCTCCGCAAACTCCCCCATCACCCACAGCGCGGCACGAAGCTAGCTACCCGAACAATATAGACCAGGGCTTTATTATAATTTTATCCAAAAATAAAAAGGGATGGCAGAAAATTAAGGAATTACTTAGATCAATTATTTAAATGTAATTGATAATTTATAATTAATATTTAATAATTAATAATTATTGTTGTTCATAATCTGAAGTATTTAATCTATTCAACTAGAGATAATAGTTGACAACTATTTGTAAACTTTTAAACCAAACATGAAATGCCTCTAAAATGTTTTGGTAATTAAAATTAGGGTGGTTCACGGTTTGATTTGGTTTAGATTTTATTATTTTTTAAATCAATATAATTTAATTGGTTAATAAAATTTTTAAACCAATTCAATCCACTATTATATTATAACCAAATCAATCCAACTTAAATTAGATCAGCGTGGTTCGGTCGTATTTATTGGTTTTTAACATTATTAAATATATAAGATAATGTAAAAATATTTTAATATCAAATAAAAAGCATAACTATAAGATACATTAACATCCAAATTAATAATAACATAATAAAAGGTACAAATTATAAATGAGTTCTTATACTCTTTTACATTTGTAAAAATTGAAAAGCTCTGAAAATTCTTTTTGGTTACATCACTAGAGGCACCAAGAACAATAAAAAATAATTTCAAATTTCTAACACAGCATAAATAATTCTTGAAAGTTAAAATTAATTTTTTTTAATGCACTAATAATTTAATCTCATTTTTTAAATCTTGTTAAAAGTGAATAAAACTTAATATGAATATTACTAAAATTGATTAGAAGCATTCATAATCAAAATTTAAAACTTCTAAACCACATATCCAAGAATAGTAGAATATCAAGATTAATTTTATTATATAGTTTTAAAACTTTTAAAAATAATACTTATTTAAAACTTAGTTGGTAGAATCATAAGATTATTTTAAAAATAAATTAAAAATTTAGGGTTCTAAAAGTACAAGCGCAAACCAGTTCAGAGGGAATAGAGTTGCAAGTAAATTAGATATTTAGAATTAGGGTTAAAGTGCATAATTAAAATGAAAAAATAACTTAGGGAATATAAAGATGTTCTAGTTTTATTTTTTAATTAAATTAATGGAGTTATTATCTTGTAAAATAAGAAAAAGAAAATTTAAAATACTACAAAAAATATGTTATATTATTTAATTAAATTATCTTCTAATCAAATTTTATTTTGTAATCGGGTAGTTCAAGCAGTTTGAAGGTAAAACCACAAACCAAACTAATTATATCAATTTTAAAATTTTAGAATTCAAACCAACCCAATTTTATATCGGTTTGGATCGATTTTTTATCGAATTGGATCAGTTTATATTGGATCAATCAGATTGGATTGGATATGAACACCCTTAATTAAAATGTCATATTTTTTATAAAATTATTTTAATATCCTTAATAAATCAACATATAAAAAAGATTCATTAAGGTTTTTAAATAATTTTATAGAAAGTCTTGTTATTTTAAATATTAAGCCGTTTTGATTTTTAGTTTTTTTTTAAATAAAAACATTAATAATTATGTTATAAGATTAATAAAAATCAACATTTTAACATTAAAATATCAAGATTAATAATGAAAATATTAAAAGACTTTTAATGAATCAATTCACAAGAAACATTTGTTAAAGGTATTTAAACAATTTTATAAAAAAAAGTTTAACATTTACCAACAAAATATTAATTCAAACAAAAGGAATTCAATTTTTTTAAATAAAATTTTAAACTTAAAATTTATTAATAAAATTATAAATACTAAAAAAAAAATTTCTTTTATGAGATCTAATCTAATTAAACTTTAATATAGCTTTCGTAACACCATAAAATAAAATAAAAATTAACATTTTAAATGCCAATCTACTTTTTTTTTTTTTGAACATATTTGTAAGGGGGGTTACGAACCCAACCTGGGAGAAGGGGGGAATGCACCGAGATGGCTATTGCCACTAGGCCTCACGGCCAGGTGCAAATGCCAATCTACTTTGATTTTTTACTTTTTGTTTTCTTACATAATTATTTACATAATAATTTGTTTTTCTGAATTCACTGAGAGCCACGTCCACACCTGCTAGGGGTTACAGCTGACTGTGGTCCTGCACTCTGTGATTTTGTTAGTTATGATCCTTGTACCACCAAATTGTTCAATGTCATCCCTTTTACATGTTTTCCATCCATAAGCATCCCTCTACTTTCTAAGAATCGTTGAATGCCATTCCTGTGTTGACACCATTGAACCATCAGATGTAATGCTAAAAATTAAATTTATTAATAAATAAATATTATTTTATAAATTATATCTAAAATTTAAGTTTTGAATTATTTAAATTATTAACTAAAAGTATCTTAAACATGTGACGGTGTTAAAATAAAGATGACATTGAACATTTAATGCTATCAATTGACGGTGCCAATATAAGGATGACACTAAACATTTATATTGTACAAGTATCTTAATAAAAAAAAATTCATAGATCTAAATATGTTCATAACATTGGTATAGTACAAGCATTTTTTTATTTTAAATTGCATAATAAATGATTTTTATTTCTTAGTTTATTTTATTCGCATATCATTCGATTTAAATTTAAAATTTCTTATTTTTTTAAAAAATATTATCATTAAATTATTTAAATTATTAACTACAAGTATTTTAAACATGTGGTGGTGTCAAAATAAAGATGACATTGAACATTTAATGCCATCAATTGATAGTGTCAAAATTAGGATGACATTGAACATTTATATAGTATAAGCATCTTAATAAATAATATCTTGAGTGCTGGGACCATATTGGCTTTTAACTCCTTTCTTAAATCCTGATAGCCCTGCCACCCGTTTTCCTGCATCAAAAAATTGGGTGGGGGATCACATGGACCGACGGACCATCACAATACAACATTTGGGGTCCCTCTCGACAAATAATACCACTGAGTACCAGAGAGCTATAATGTCCAAATCCTGACATTAATTTTTGACAGACTTCACTCCTCAAAGAGAAGAAATAAAAACTTGTGAAAGAATTTTTTTTTTTTTAATAATTTGTAATTATTTATAGGGTTAATTGAGAATGAGGAAAAGGGATTTCGTGAGATTTGAATGTGAAACCCACTTAAAGTAAATAATTCTAACTCAGAATTCAATACCACTGAGTGGGTCGATTTGTGACAGAACTTATTTACTTATTTATTTATTGAAATTTTTTATTTTTGTCAATTAAATTGGGTTTCTTGATCTTGCGTCATTGGCTTAGAATATAATTCTTGATTTTGATAATTAAATTTTTTTCTCTAAAAGTTGTTTTCTTTCGAAGCAATTCACTTCACCGACGGGAGAGGAGAGAATCTGGGTTAATGCTTAATCAAGTCTTTGTTGTTAATTCAAATTATGGGCTTTTGAAATTTGAAACAAAAAAGTTTGAAGCAATCTTTTATTTTATTTTATTTATTTATTTTTTAATCAAAATATTTTTAAAAAATTTATTATATAATAATTTAAACTACACAAATTACATAACACATTTTATTAAATAAAAATAAACTTATTGATATGAAAATTTTTATATTTTTAATAATTTTTATTTTATACATTAAATTATAAAAATAAATAAACTCATCTAGAAAGGCTAACAAGTAAGCTTGGCATGAAACATGTGTCACCGCGCAGAAAGAAGTTGAGAATTTCCTGAAAAAGAAAAAGTATTTTGGAGAGTAGGAACTTTTGTAAAGCAGTCGGCTTTTTTTTATTTTAATAGGCGGGATCACCATATTTTTGCAGAAAAAGTGACTGTGCCTTTTCCAGAAGTCAATAATTTTGTCTCTTATTGAGAAATCTTTGCTTACTGTGGTTAAAGTTTACATGGTAAATAAAATCCACTGCTCCCATCTACAGGAAT